AATGTAAATTACTCTTGCAGTCTATGCAGAAATTGATCAATACGTTTTGTATATTTTACCACAATGTAAAAAGTGATAGTAATAGAGAATCTCTTGTAATACAAAAGAAATAAAGTTCTAATGGAAAAAGCAGCTATTTGGAGAAGGTGGGCAGAGATCTCTGCACGTGTGTGGCATCCTTGGAGCTGCATTTTTCTTTGAGCACTCAGGCTTCTAGGTCAAGCAGAAGAGGCATCGTGTCTGGTTGATGTCACAGAGAGAAGCATCTCCATCCCAGCATTTATCCCCTGCTCACATGACATAGAAGCAGCAACTGGGGGTGAAAATGAGCCAGAGATGCTGTCTGAAGCGAAGGCTAGGCTGGAAATGAGGCCATGAGATCTAGGGTAGAAGGGAAGGAGGAATGGGGAAAATCTGGCCCAATCTTCTATGATCCTTTATCCTCCTTGGAAATCTCTGAGCTTCTTGGGTGTGTACATTAATAGTTTTGGTTTGTTTGGGGGTTTTGTCACAAAAACTGAGAAATTTTCAGCCATTATTTCTTCAAATATTTTCTTCTGCTCCTTTCTCTCCCTCTCCTCTCCTTCTGGGACTCCCATTACATGTATATTGCATGCAGTGTCCCACACATCCCTGACACTCTGTTCATTTCCCTTCTCCGTTTTCTCATTCTGTTCACTGAAAAGTTCTAGAGCAATTACAAATTTAGTAAAGAGAGCCTCAGAAGAGCAGCCAACTTCTCTCCAGACACAATGGCTAAGCACAGGCACAGGTGCCTTCTGTCCTTGGTCAGATCAGCAGAGTCATGATCAGCTAGGTGTGGGTGAGATGAGACAGGGGGTGAAGAGGGGCAGAAGGGGAGCAGAAATGAGTAAATGCCTGCTGATATGACCTGGCTCCATGGGTCATTCTGAGAGAATGGGGCTCTGAGCCATTTACAAGGAGGATGTGTAGTCCTACATAGTGTGCCAATAGATCAAAGGAAAGTTCTTTCTCAGAAAAATGTGCTAGCAGAGCCACATGTACAAGAAACTGTCACTCACTAGGTACTCCAAGGAACTCAAGGGTGGGTTTGGATATTTTAACTGTTTTCCAAATTTTTTTTTCCTACTGTTATGTTAAGGAGATGGAATCACCAACCACCCTGAATAAGACCAAGCCCCATCAAGAGCTATGCCTATGACCTTGGCCTTACTGTTAATGCTAAGATCTCTCCAGGAGGAGCCAGGGCCTTATTCCTGAAAACTGCTGTATAAGTCAAAGCATGTTTTCCATCTGAGCCTGCACAGGTGAATGCCCACCTTTCTTTTTGAATATTCATTCCTCATCAAAAAGAAATATCCCACTTCCCTTTGTTCGGGGATGCCATGACTCAGGAAATGATTCCTCATGGTCTCCTATTTGCCACAAATATACTTTACTTTATGACACAACTACTTCTGGTGGAGAGTCTGATTTAACTTGCCAGGAGGGAACACTCTTCGGTTTCGGTAACAACACCAGTTATGGGAATTGTGAAAACTCTCAAGGTTTTATGTGAAAAATGCACTCAAAAGATAAACACCTGTTTTGGGTGAAAATTACATTCTACCATCTTTGATTTTCTATGCTTCCAAAACTTCATAGACATTATGTAATAGGTACTTCATAACCCAGCATGTTAACACACATTAGATTAAAAAATCACTACAACATTGTTGAACATACTTGTGATTTCCAAATCAAGGGTGGGGAGGAGGCCTTAAGTCATCAAGGATGGGGGAATGGTGATATCCCCTGTAAGCAACAACCATGTCTGTGACAGAGAATGAAAATGAGAAGATACTTGACATGTCCACCTTCTGGGTAATGACTGATCCAACAGATGCAAAAGCAGCATAAGCAGTATACCCAGTTTGAGACAAGACTTCAGAAGTCTTCAGATATCTATATTAAATACATAAGAACAAACTACGATAATTTAAACAGCCAAGCTGATTGCTTGTATTGTTAGTAGCATCATGTCTTGAGACTTCCCCCATCCAAAAGTTGACAGCCCTCAAGCACCTGTGCACAGAGAACTCTGATAACAACCATGCCAGGCTCCTCACCAGGGACAGGGAGCCTCGGGGTCAGAATCTGTGCCTACATCATGGTCTTCACTGGAGCATGAGGTTACCTGTGCCAGGTAGGACAGGAGTGACCAAGGAAACTCAGAATGAGTGGCAAAGCTTTGGTTCTCCTCTTTCAGTCTCTATCTCCATGTCCCCAACTACTTCAACTCTGGGGTCTTTTAAACCTTTGAAATACCAAAAAGTTGAGAACAACATTAGCTTTATCAGGGCAACCTGGGACCACATAGGGAACTCAAGTGCATTTCTCTGTCAACCCCCTCCTCTCAAACTCTCCTATTCTGTCATTACTTTCTTTTCCTAGTGCTCTCATCAATGCCCCATCTGCACTTCATCCCCAATCTCTGCTCCTCACCCCCACCCAACTGCCTGCTGTTGCCTGTAATTAGCAAGAAGCTGATGGATGACTAAGCTCTTGCCTACTGCGTTTTAGGAGAGATCAATGTTTGGTACTTTGGCATTTATACCAAAAATAAAAATAAAATACTTAGAAAAACCCTTTTGCTATCAAAAAAATGGAGCTCTACAAAGAGAAAGATTGCACAGATGCATGCTATTTTAGGAAGAAGACAGTTGCCTAATCACATATTCAAGTAATGGTGGGGTCATATTCATGTTCTTGGAGGATCTCACCTAGGGAAAGGGACACCATTTCTGGCTAATGACAAAGCCCCCCAAAGCTCCACCTCCATTCAAAGTGCCCAGTACTTTCTCCTGGTGAAAGTAGTCATGCTATCAACAGCCTACTAATGTGGTTCTTGCAAATCCCTCACCACACAGCCCCTCTCTGTGAGGGGAAGAGGGATATGACAAAATCTCTTATCTTGAGAGTCAATAAAACTGGGAGGACATTGGTGGTCAGTAAGCAGCCCCTTCTTCCTTCACCTCTAGGATTGAAAAGCCTGGAAGGAGAAGGCACACATCACTTCAGACATGATCAGCCTTTCGGGAAAGATGCTGCTGCTTCTGATCTTCTTGGCCAATCTCCTACCCTCCAGGTCTCAAGGAGCTAAGAGGACCTGTAGGTCCTCAGAGGCCTGGTTTATTCCAACCCTGACACTTCCACAGTGTCCCAGTGAGGCTGTCATTATGACCCTTCCTTGCCTCAGTCCATTCCCAGAAATTTGCTGATCCCCAGATCTGTTACTGGATATGCCTTCTGGAGAAATTACAGAAAAGAAAACTGCTCCTAAGGACACCTGGTGGGTCTTCTCCCTTCCAAGGGTCAGAGCCTTGTCACCTGGAAAATGACTTAGTATTAGGATAGCGTATGATTCAAGTGGAAGGGAAAGCTGAAAAAGAGCACTATAACTTCCCATTCTCCAAAGCTATGAGTGGTTATCTATCACTGAACCTATTGTCTGAATCAAGAACAGAAGAGCCAGCAAACACTCAGTTTCCTAGGTGTCACTTTCACCTTGTCCCCATTCTACTGAGCAACTCAGCTCTACAAGAGCACATATCCAGAACCTTATAGAACCATCAGAATGTTGACTCACTGCTGCTCCCACCAGCTCAGTGGAGACACTCTCCCACCCACATCCCTCCAGCCCATTTCCCCATCTCACTCTGATTTCCCATCATTTGTATTCTGCCCTCTGTGAGCCTAAGAAAGATAAACTGTGCTGGAGTTCAGATTGCATTAAAACTGCTCCTCACTAGCTGCTGATCAAAGCAGATTTGAGGACTGTTCACTGATGCACCTAGCACGCATTTCTGGAGTGTGTACTATGTGCCTGACCCAGGAGGGGGGAGAAATAAGCCACAGTATCCTACCCCATGAGCACAAAGTGCTCAGATTATACTGGAAGTAAGCAGTTCACAAGGATCTGAGAAGCCCAGGGACAAATGCAACCAGGGTAGGTCAGAGAGATTAATCTCCAGGTCTTCTAGGACAGTTCCTTTAACAGGTATATGAACTGTGTTTGCTCCAGAACAAGGGCTGAGCTCCTCATCTCTACAGGAGGAAACTAAGAACTAAGCCAGGAAACAAGTCATGCTGCAAGCCCGCCAGCTGCCCTCTGAAGCCTGCAACCCCCTCTCATTGTGTTGGTCCCAGAGGACATGACAACCACCCTAGCCTGAGAACATCCCGTGGGTTTAGACTACCAGGCAGTGCCCAGCACCTGTTTTCTATGAACGCAGAGAAGCAGGGCAATTTTCTCTTTCAGGCAAAATCAGATGAGGCAGAGTGGCCAGACCACACTCACAGCCCTACATGGTATCTGTCCTTTCCTACAATGACAATGAAGGCCAGAGTAGATGTGGGGGGTCCTGGTACAAGACAACTTTGTGCTGGCAGAAGCTCACTGTAAAGGAAGGTGAGGAGCAAAGGACTCCTTGTCATCCTGGGTTCCCCTGGTTTGGTCCCTTGGCCTGTAACTCAGGAAGGTCCCTGAGCAGCACACAGAGCCAATGACTAATCAGAGGAGCAATCTGATCTGCTCAGACCAGGACACAGTGAGTGTGGGATTCAGGGGTGGACTGCATGGAGAGAGGCCTGGGTGACAGGCAGGCTGCTGAAGAACCAGGTTGGGTCACTGCTACCCAGCAAAGAAAGCTGACACTGTCCACTTTTCCCTTCTACCCTATCTGATTCAACTGCAGGTGTGCCTTAGGCTGGAAATTCAACCTCCCTTTCAGGCATAGAGCTGTAGCTCCTGTGGCTGACCCAATCTACCTTTTCTTTACAGACAATTAAGTGTCATCCTGGGTGCTCACAATATCAGAAAAATGAAAAATCACCATGTAGATGATGCAAGAAAACCAGAAGCACAAGTTTAGGAGGTCCATGAGGTCCTGAGCCACACCCCTGCATTCCCCTAAGGGGCCGTGGGTCTAAAAGGAAGAAACACCAGCAGCTCTGACCTGGCCAGAACTTCAGGGAAGATGCAGCCACTCCTGGTCTTATTGGCCTTTCTTCTGCCCCCCAAGCCTGGGACAGGTGAGTAACCATCCCCATTCCAGACGCTCCAGCCCATCTCACAAAACCCTCAGGACTCCTGACCCTCTTCCCAGCACAGTCAGGGATTTTCCTCAATTAAAGCCCAAGAACTTTCCAGACCCAAGCTCCCATCCCAAACCTAGACTAAGAAGTCCAATGCTGCACAAACACTCAACAGGCAAGGCAGGAACAAACGGTGTTCACTAAAAGATTTACTGTGTGAGCTTCTCTCTTATCACCTGGGAGGTCAATTGCTCATTGAAGGCAATTGGCAAAGGATGTGAAGCTACAAAAGATAAGTAATTAAAATCCCTCACTCAAACTCAGGAAAGGGCAGATCAGACAAACCGACTGCAGTAGTGGGATTTGTCCCTAGACCCAGCTTAAGAACCAGTTTCTTTTCTCGGTGCCCTCACCCCCTCACCCCTGCCCAGGAGAGGAGCCGAGGGAGCAGCTGATCTCAGAAGGGGTTGGATGACTGCATCCAGAGCACTTCTGTTGCTTTTGCTCTACCAGAGGCCCAGGCACCCCATTTTCAGCCCCACTTCCCCCTGTCTTAACAGGCCTTCAGCTACTCCACACAGTGCCCTCCATCCATGAGGATGGCCTTCAATCCAATAAGCACAACCCCCAGGAAACCTCAGCCTAAAGCTAGGTGAAGGTCATTCACTCATGCAGCCAGAAAATGTTTACTGAGATCCTAGCACGGGTTCAGTCCTAGGACATGAGGATGTTAGAAAACCCAGCGCCATAAGCTCACAGACAGATTATTAGATACAGGCACCAGTCAAGACATTAGCAGAGGTTCAAAGGGGTCGGGAGACTCACTGAGACAGAAGGCGTCAGGGGAACCCTGTCCATGATCCCCTGGGGCTCCACCATCATGAAGACAGCTCTTATCTCCTCTATACATGGTCTGAAGTAGGACAGGGACAACAAGCTCTGTCCCCCCTTCCCTTACCGGGGATTCTAAGACTTGAATTCAGAAAAGGTTATTCTGCTGCAAGGAGAACCTGGAGGACTCTCCCCGGTGTCAGCAGGGCACTGTAGGGCTCCCCCTCAATCACCACCTTCCAATGCTTTCGTTCCTGACCACAGCCACTCCCAGAAAGCACAACTTCCAGTCTTTTCTTTCAGGAATCATCATCGGAGGACATGAGGCAAAGCCCCACTCCCGCCCCTACATGGTATTGATTCAGGTTCCGGGTAAGGAGAAGCCCAGCAGGTGCGGCGGTGTCCTAGTGAGAAAGGATATTGTTCTGACGGCTGCTCACTGCTGGGGAAAGTGAGGGGCCGAAGGCAATGGACACCTCCTGAGACCCCTACAGGAACCCTTGTCACCTGCCAAGGGGCTGCTGCCCAGCGGAGCTCCTCCAGCTCCTGGTAACTCGAGGCCACGAGAGCTCTTGCAAGGAGTCATTTGAGAGCATGACTGAGTCATGGAAAGTGAGAAATGGGACAGGCAAGCTTTGGGGTCAGAGGGTCAGACGTGAGAGCAAGTGGCCCAGTTGAGAAGAGAGACCATTCTGGCCAAATACAGCAGCCATGGAGTATGAAAGCAAGGACTAGGGTCAAAAGGCAAACTCAGAGTACTTTGACAATATTGTCTGAGGGCAAGAGAAAGCTTCCAGAAGTCCTCCTCTCAGTGTCATTGAGAAGAAAAAGTCACAGAGTCACTCAGCAACTGGCCCTCTTGTTATCTTGATTTCCCCTAGCTGCAGCCCTGCCCTGCCTCAGCTGTCAGTCGGCCTTCATGGCTCCAGGGCTGGATCTCCTGTGACTCCACACCCCTCACATCCCCGCTCTACTTTCTGCGCAGCACAATCAACGTGACCCTGGGGGCCCACAACATGGAGAAACAGGAAACGACCCAGCAGATCATCCCTGTGAAAGAAACCATCCGCCACCCAGACTTTATTTATGAGAAGTTATCCAACGACATCATGTTAATAAAAGTAAGGGAACCTCCCCACTGCTCTTGCTGTCCTGGGTCCAGATTATTTCCCCTCCCACTGCAACCTGTCCCTTCCCTCCTTCCCATACTGGCTGCCTGACTAGTCCCAGTGGCTCAGGGTAGAGGGAAGTCAGTGCAGCTCCATCGTGATGTCAGGCCCAAGAAGCAGGTGGCTGAGCTGGACTTTCTTGCCTCTTCCCATCAGCTGGAGAGAAAGGCCAAGCTGACTGCAGCTGTGAGGACCCTCAGCCTGCTCTGGGGCAAGGCCCAGGTGACGCCCGGACAGGTGTGCAGTGTGGCCGGCTGGGGGCAAGACTCAATGGGCATTTCAGCAAATATACTGCAGGAGGTGGAGCTGACTGTGCAAAAAGATGTGGAGTGTGAATCCCGCTACCGCCCTTTTTACAGCAGGGCCACCCAGATTTGTGTAGGTGACCCGAAGAAGATGAAGAACAGCATTAGGGTAAGGTTTCCAGCATCCACCTAGACAGGCCCTGGGAGAGAGGAAATGGGGAGCTCTGAGTGATGGGAGTGGCCCTGTCTTCATGCATCATCCTGAGAGCTAGGACAGCCTGGGTCCACGAATGTAGTCTTCAGTTTTTACCCCTAGCGCATCAGGCATTCAGGCTAAGGAAGGATCAGTCACCCCACGGCAGAGTTCTCACCAAAACTTCCCTAAGGATTAGAGAGAAAGCCTTAGCCTGGGTGGAGCTGCAAAGAACAGTCAGAGTCAGGCTGGAGTCCTGGAAAGAGGGAGGTGACAAAGCCTGCCCTGTTCCTGATCTTCCAGGCAGCCCATAATAGAGACCACTGACCCCTGGGGTGGTGGGAAAGGCAAGATAACATGGAGGCAAGCTGAGTCCTTCCTCTCTCTGCCCCAGGGGGACCCCGGGGGACCCCTCATCTGCAACAACATGGTCCAGGGCATTTCCTCCTATGGACAACTGAGCGGGAACCCTCCAGGAGTCTTCACGAAGGTCTCATACTACCTGTCCTGGATAAAGAGAACAATGAAACACCTCAAACAGCAGGCATGAGGCTGACCTTCCTCTGTGCCTGACCATCTTTTCTGGGGCAGAGGCAGGAATCCCACGGGGCGGGCAGTGGGACTGCAGGGCCATAATAAATGGATTTCTTGAGAGTATGACTAAAGTCTCACGGACTCACTGAACCACTTTCAACACGCAACAGCATGCTCCAGGCAGCCCTCTGCTGTCAGTTGTGGGCTGTCCTTCCTCCTTCCTCCTCCAGCCCATCTTCCCCCTAAAGCACACGCTGTATAGTTTCTCAGTCACACCTCTGTGGTGCTTGACCCTGTGTAAGGGCTGAATCTGAAGGCTGCCCATTATAATAGGACAATCTTCTTCCCATAAATATGTTCCTCCCTGGGCCTTAGGAAATTCTTACCTTCTCTAACCCAACCACCATCACCAACACCCCAGCAACTTGGCAGAGGGAAGAGCAGGGCAGTGGAAGGGAACTAACTCCAGGGACCCAGGAGACAAGGGGGCCAGGCCATTGTCACTGAATTTCCCGTTTTCAGGGACTCTCTCTCCAGTGGGGGCAGCTTCTCCCACAGCCAGGACCAACTGCAGCTTCAGAGGCTCAGATGATGCTACGATGGCCCCCAGCCTCACTTGGGTCCCATTCTCTGCCCTCTCCAGGACCTAGCACTGAGCTCAGTCAACATTCCTCCCTGGCTGACCATCGCACACCAGCTCCATTGTTCCATCTGACTGCCCTGGCCCCCAACTCCTTTCCTTTCCAGCCCACCCTGTTTTGAGCCAGCCTCTCTCTCATCTCCCTAACAGAGTTCCCAAAGCCCCATGTGCATTCTCCTCTATTGCTTGTCTCTGTCATACTAGAGATGACTGCCCACCTCTTTCCTATCAGAGGAGCCAGTATCCACTTGCCACCTGAGCAGAGACAGTTCAGGTCCTCCATCCAGCCCAGCATCCCCACGGGGACTCAGCCACCAAGGCCTATGGAGTCACTCAGCAGCCTCAGCCCCTTTCAGCCTTGTCTGATGCCCCCTGCTGGCAACCTGGGTTGTGGCAGCTTTGTGAGCCTGAAGGCTCGAGGGTTGCTGGGCTGGAAAGTACCACTTGGTCATCCATCAATACATCATTTGTTGATCTCTCTCTTTGTGCCAGACACATAACAGGCTCTGTCCTTGTCATTGGGAAACTTAGAAGGGAAGTTTCCTCTAAATTCTCCTGGTTCCTCCCCTTCCCCCCGGCAGGTCAGTTTGGCAGATGGATCTGTACTTGAAATCCTCAAGAAATCTGGCCTTGAAAATAATTAAATTCCCTTATTTTATCTGTATTTCACATTACAGTTTCACATGGGTGATGTTACTTGATTCCACAAGAGCCGTATGACATTGGAAGAGACTGGGAGACCCACAGCTCCTGAGGCTCCCAGGCTGTGCTCAGTGGAGTCGATGTCTGGAGGTGAGGGAGAGAGGGAGGAGGTACCTGAGGCAGCCTTGTCTTTATATATTGGCAGGTAGATGGCATGAGCCCCAGTCCAAAAACCCACAAAATGCCACATTTCATTGTAATGAAAATAATAAGAATAATGAGAAGTTTTTACTTATTGATATGTATGGGGAAGCCATTCTGGTTTAACTGCGATTCAGCCTGAAACTTGTTTTTCCCAGAGCAGCTGGACATATGACCCACCAAACACACATTGTACATGTGCTTCAAACATTTCCCCAGAGCAACGAATGCACAATTTAAACAGAGAGATGAATGTCTCCCTTTCTCTGAAGCCAATACCAGCACTTCTTTCAAGATAAGCTCTTCTTCCCAAGGTCAAGCTGAGCTGCTGCATATGTGTTAAACTGCAGCACAACATATCCTTGTGACTTAGAAAACATTGTATTCCTGTCATGCTTGATGTATAGTCTTTGTTGTGAATTGGTCTATAGCCATGCTGCGACCATGCTTCTCAGGAGAGCTTTCTTCCCTGGTGGAGACAGCACTTCCAAGCTAGTTCTCAGCATTGGCTCAATAAACATCACTCTGTAATTCTTACCTATAGGTTGGTTATTGATTATTTTCATTGACTACTGTGACCCAGATGACCTTATTTTAAGATATGTATCCTTCAAATAGCACCACCAGTGAATTGGATGTAACAGAAAATAACGCATTCATAGATATGGAAAGTAAAATCCAGCACATTGAAACATAAGATGAAAAGCAAGTGAAAGTTTATTTTTCATTCATTACTGTCCCCAAGTCCATCTTCCAAGCCTCCCCTTGGGCTCACAGCACCCACAGAAGCTCAGAGAAGGGAAGAGCTGAATACATGTGCGGAGATGAGCCAGCAAATGGTAGAAGGTATACAAGCCAGGGGACAACGTTGGGTCACAGCATTAAAAAAGGACACTCAGGAGAACCCATCACAGTAAAGAAATAGAGACCCCAGAAAGTCAGCCATGAGGAGCTCCATGGAGCCTCAGGGTGTAAGCCAGAGCCAGGGAGAGAGTAGTCAGGGATGTCCGCCACCAGGGACATGGGCGTGTGGCCTTGAAGGACAGTGCCTGTTGGTGAGTTCACCCTCACAGTTGACAGGAGCACTTATCACAGAATGACACACATGAGGAAGAAAAACAATGACCTTCTAATGCCTGTAGCATCAGGAAGACTGGGCTGCTCTTGATGGTACCTGTTTCCTTAAAAAGGTTTCAAAGTCAGTTTACATCTATTTCTCTCTCTTGATCTAGTGACTTTTATTCTAGGACTTACTGCTACACAAGGTCTAAAGTATGTGTAAGTTCTAAAGTATGCGTGTGTGTATGTTATTCATAAAGATGTTAACACTCCATAATTTAATAATAAACCCCAAGGTGGAATCAGTACTAATGTCCAAAACAGGGAAATGGTAAAATATGGCACATGCACATTATGGATTCTGCAGCCCTTGACATCTACATTATCCACTGCTTTAGAAAAGTAGGCTAAGAACATCAATAGGAGAGTGATTAAAAAAAATCAACATTTGGACAAAAGTAAAAGCTCACTAATTAATCAATGCAAATTAAAATGTTAATAATTTTGTGCTTATCTAATTGGGAAGGATTTACAAAATTAATCATGCACACATTCAATATGGACATTGAGAAAATGGCATTTTCACACCTTGCACATAAAGGTCCTTTAAAAAAAGAAAACAGCTGTCTTTGACATAGCCATCACCCACACTGAGAAAAGCGAACAAGGTAAATGTCCTTATAGATTGTTACAAAACTCAAATCTTGGAAACATGCCAATGTCCAGCACCAATTGAGGATTCATTTTTCAAAAGTTTCATACCATTGAACACTGGGGAAACTTTAAAGTTTTGAGATAGAGTTACGTTTTGCCACATGGAGAATGTTCTCCAGGTCTGTTTAAGTCAAAAGCAGTTAGAGAGCAGTATATAGTACAATCAAATTTTTGCTTGTACACATATTTTCTTTGTAAGCTTTTTTTCTGCCTACATATCCATTTTCCTAATTTTACCAAATTTTTCTGTATTATTTAAATAACTTAGGCTATTTATTTAATATAAATGTGATTCTAAAGTGATATTCACTCAGAGATTGAATAAAATGAGTGAAATATTTATGTTGAATAATTTAAAGTCTAGGATTAAAAATTAAATATATTGTGATCAAACTTATATAAAAAAATACATTAAAAAAACCTTGTTGGAAAAACATCTGTTAACAGTGGTCAATTGGGTGCTGAGACTAAGGCTGACTTTTTTTCTTCTTTCTATTTTCTAATATATTCAATATTTTAAAATGTATAGTTATTAGAATAATTTTATTTAAAAAATATTCCAATTCAAACAAAAGGTAGGCTTCAGTAAGGTAGGTGGTCCATGTGTTAGTTAAGATAACCCTAAATATTTAACTGATAAACAGTAGCATTTTCGTCACTAACACAGTAGTAGAATATTTCTTGCTCATAAACAGCCCAAAATGAGTTTCCTGGTGAGTAATGCCCCTCTTTCTCTCATGCGTCCCAGTTTTGACAATATTTACATGATCAACCCACAAATAAGGGACTAGGCTCAGTCTCCTGAAGGTGGCATCCACGTTCCCCGTGTTTACCTGTGTCAAACCCTGGAAGGGGAGGAGTCGACATGGTCAGGCACAGGAGTGTATTTGTGGCCAGTTCTGGACCACAGCATTTCCACTCACATGCCATTTACTCCAACACTCACACAGCCACACCTCACCTCAAGTAAGTTTGCAAGTGTGGTTCACTTGTTTCCTCTGGAAGAAAAGGAAATTGTTTCGCTAAACTAGCTCATCTCTACCATGATGGTTAATAGTTTTTGCTGTTTATAGCGATCATGAGCTCTAAATGTTTTTTCTGCCTATAAAAATAATATATTTCCATTATAGAAAAAACTGCATAATATAAAGGTGAAAATAATAGTCACATAAAATGGTTGTTCTGGCTCTTGTGTTTCACTTTAATTTTTATAAAATTGTGTACACCATTCTACAGTCTACTTTTTACACTTTATATTAGATGACACAAACCACTCCATGCCACTAAGCAGTCTTCTAAAACATGATGCTTTTGAACAGCTGGACAGCATTCTATCCCGTGAATACATCACAATGCATACTACCACTCTCCTATCTTGAATATATGGATTGTCTCAGCGATTGTGGAAGAGGGTCTTGGGGAATATGTCCACCTCCATCAATTCCCATGTTTACCCAGGGCCCCAGAGCCAGCTGTTCAGTCTCAGAAGTGAGCTTTTCTGCTAGGAAACACTGAGGGTCTTGCATCTATTTTCAAATCTCTCTCTTCCACATGCAGGGTCTGCATCCCTCTTTCCCACTTAACTACTCTGAGGGGAAGATAGTATGCAGATGTCACTGAATTTCCTATGTCACCTGCTCTTTCCTACAAGGACAACAGCACAGGACAATTCTTGGCAAGAATGTGTCTCGCTCCCAGTAGACACACGTGGTGGAAGACAATGGCACATGGACAGCCTTCTCCCAGCACTGACACTCCAG